TCGGGCACCCCTGTGAGCCCTTTCTGGGAGCGGTCCGGGAGCCTTCTGGGGCTGTCTTGGAGGCCTCTAGGTCACTCCTGAACCCCACTTGAGTCGTCTTGGGGCCCTCTTCGAACTCTCCTTGGCTGTTTTTACAGGGTGTCCGCGTCCTGGGCCTCGGAGGCCGCCGCCTCCGACCCCCCGCGGGAGGACGGGGCGGCCCGGGAGGTCCAGAATAGTCCAGGAAGGCTTCCAGAGGCTCCCAAGACGGCCCAAGCGGGCCCCGAGTCGCCGAAAGACAGCTCCAGAACGCCCAAGGTAGGCCCAAGACGGCCCAGAGGCCCCCCAAGGCACTCCACGACGCTTCAAGACGCCTCTCCACAGCGCTTCAAGAGGGCCGAAATCGTCAATTTTACGAAGGTATTCGAACGATTTTGGCCTTCCAGCCTTTTCGGCTGTCCGACGTTCCAAGACGGCTCAATAGGCCCCCAAGAGCGCCCCAAGACGGCCCAAGAGGGCCCCAAGACTGTCCCAGAGTCGCCCAAGACAGCACAACAGAGCCCCAAGACAGCCCCAAGATGCGCCCAAGAGGGGGACCACGACTCCAAAATTCGACCCTCCCGCTTGAAGAGTACCCAAGGAGGCCCCAAGGATCCCCCAAGAGGCCCCAGGAGGCTCCCAAGAGGCACCCAGGAGGCCCAAACGATGCTTAAAGAGGCCACAAAACAGCCCCGAGGAGGCGCCTCGTGGGTCGTATCAGAGCGTCGGAAAGCCGGACAGGTGAGAAGGCCCAACATTTTCAGAAATCGACGGAGAAATCATGATGCTTGCTTCTTGGGGCCCTCTTGGGACGCCTCTTGGTACACTCTTGGAAAGTCTTCGGAGCCTCTTTGGCCGTGTTGAGGCCTTCTTGGGCGTATTGGGGCTATCTTGTGCCTTCTCTGTGGCATCTTCGGCCCTCTTGGGCGCTTGTTGGGCCCATGCTTGGCCAGCTGCGCTACTGGAGGACGCGCGCGACACGCCCTGGGAATCCTGGGAACCCTTGTAATTCCTAAGGAATCCCGTGGAATCCTCCGAAATCTCGGGGGATCCCCCCAAATCCTCGGGAGTCCTTTGTGACCCAGTGGCCGGGCACTCCTAAATTCCCAAAGCCTTGCAATTCTGAACTTCTCAGGGCTGCGTAAGTAAGCCTTGGGACACTCCACTACGTGCTGCGGGCACGGTGGCGGATTTGCGCATTCTCTCCGCCTCACTCATCTTCCGCACTATCTCTCCCCTGACACGCAGGCACACAGTCTGACTCACTCATATTCAGACTCAGCCTCAGACCCAACCACATGCAGACCACTCCCATTCAGATCCACATATTTCTTGCCTGGTTGCACTCAGACTAAACTCAGATTGTCCACTCGCTCAGATTCTCCCGTACCCAGACTCACTTAAATACACTCAGACTCTCTTACGCCCTGACTCACGCCCTGACCCACTGATAATCATATCACACACGCACCCGCACTCATACTCACGCTTACTCTGCCGCATCGCATTATCAGCTTAGTCGTCTTCATACCCGTGCAGATAAACGCTCAGATCATTCACGGTTAGATTCACCTATGCTCAGACTCACCCACATTCTGTCTCATCCACACTCTGTCGTTCATACATTCGTATTCAGAAACCTCACGCACAGACCGACTCATATTCAGACTTATTTGTCGCCGCCATGCAGCAGGCATGGCATTTGGACCTCCCAAGGGGGAGCCGCCAAAAAAGGGTGTTGCACGGGCCCATTTGCACACAGATTGTGGGATGTCTCGAGCGAAGCGCCCGCTTGCGGAGTAGTGCGCGTCTTTTCCGCAGCCCTCTGATCACCGCGATATAGCATGCATGGCGCTCGGACCACCCAAGGCGGAGCCGACCAACGGTGTTGCACAGGCTCCGCCCTGTGACCCCGGGGATGGAGCGCGCATGGCATGCGGAGAACCCAAGAGGCAGCCGACCAAGCGTGTTGCACGAGGCCTTGACGGAGCCACATGTCATAAAGACGTGCGGAACCTGACAGATCAGCAACGACCGCAGGAATCCCTTGAAACTTGGGGAGGTTCGGCCAGCCTGATGGCCCTCAGGGTGTATGTTTGGGACGCCTTGAGCCGTTTAAGAGGTGTACGGGGGGCCCACTTGGGCCCATCGTTTGCTGCCAAGGCCACACTCCGAGGACATGTAAGGCGTTCCGCTTGTAGCGTCCAAAAATCCAAATGCGTGAAACGCTTGTGGGAGACGCTTGCAAGGACAGCCTGACAGGACTTGTTTAGTCCGAAACCCAGATAGCGAGGCGACAGAAGCTTTTGGAAAGTGCTTCCAAGGAGCTCTGGATGCTCTGGGAAAGGAGCTTCTGGAAAGCTTGACGGCACACGTATTGGGAAGCTGTTCCATCGAGGACCTCGTCTCCGTGGAGTCGAGAGACTGCCATTTTTCATTATGCAGAAGGTCGGCGGAGGAAGGAGGAAGCGAAACGAGAGCGGTTCCGCCAGCGCAAGGCCGGCGGCCCCCGACAGATGCTAACGTCTCGGAACCCCAGGTGCATGGAGCCGGCCATGCTTAGTACGGTGGGGACGTTTGTGAAGGAATGCTCGAGGGTTGCCAAAGGTGCCCCTGGCCAGCTATTCGCTCTACTTTGGAGCCCCATGGGCCCCCCTGGGCCTCGTGAGAGGTGCTCTGGTGGCCGTGGGGGCCTCCTTGCAGATCCTGGGGGCACGTTGGGCCAGGGGCACTTCCAGCAACACCCGAACTGTGTCCTTGCAGGATTCCATACCTGATGAGGGCGGCAGTGATATCCGTGGTCCATCCACGATTAGGGTTCCACCGGCTTCCAGACCCCTGGATTGCTCATCCAGCGGCTCCTTATCTCTGGTGCCCTCACCGAAATGAACTATTGTGCAGCCTTGCCCCCCGCCGTGCCCCGCCGGTGACCCGCCGTGTTCGCCGCGCGCGCGGCCTGCCCCTACCTGGTGGGCCCTACCTATTGCAGAGGCTGCGCCATCGACGAAGACAGCTGGAGTTAGCGATGTTCCGTTGGACTCGCAGCAACGCAACACGCTCTGCGTGCCGACGCCCGCCGGCACGGAGAGGATGTGGGCGAGGACGTTTGTGGTGTCCTGGCTCCCTTCACCAGGCTAACGCAGAGGTTGCTGGTGGGCGTTGTTTTCGTGCCCAGTTGCATGCGCCGATGGCGTAGCTATTCAACTTGGCCGATCCGGTTCGGCCGGTTCTGTTTCGCTTTCGGCTCACATCGCGGACCGGTTCGGTTCGGCCCATTCGGTTCCAGAGCCAACTCTCGGTTCTCGGTTCAGATCGCGGCCATCATGCTTTTCTGGAAAAGTCGGGCCATTCGAGGATGGTGCGCCGCAGGTCCAGGCAAATGGGAGTCCCAGAATCGTTCCAGGTGCCTTCTGTGCACGCCCCTCAAGGATGGTGAATCCCAGGATTGTTTCCAGTGCTGTCCGTGCACGCCCGTTTTATGATGGTGCGTTCCGGGTCCAAACAATGGTCAGCCCCAGGGTAGCTACAGGCAAATTCTGTGCGTGCCCGCTCCAAGTTAACTACGGCTTCGTTCCAGGAGTGTCCCAGGTGCCCCAGGACGGTCCCAGACAATTCTTCGCTCCAGGACCGCAACAGGGCAGTCCTTGTGTGATGCGCCCTGCCTTCCCTGCTTGCCGGCCGACCTTACTTACCTGTCGTCATCTTCGGTTTGAGAAGAATCTACGTCCTCCTCCTCCTGCTTGTCGCCGCCGTCGATCTGGAGCGACCAACCAGAGGAACGAAGAGGGGAAGGGGAGGCGGGCAAGGCGGGATGGAAAGGGCCGCCCCTGCAGAGGCCATCCAATTCCACCTTCTACTCGTCTCCGTTATGTTCACTTTCCGCCGATCGTGACCATTTCCGCCTCTGGCAAGGGCGACTGAAGATCGTGGCCCTGCCGAGGTCTGGACTCAGGGGAGGACTCTTTGTAGACTGCCCTTACTGCGGGGACGAGCAGCTGGTTCTTTGTACCCTGCCAGTGCTCGGAACGGCGCTGGTGCCTCAGGCTGGGGCGGGTTGGGGCACCTCACCGCTCCTGGGGCCAGGCCAGGCCTGGCCAGAGGCTGTGGATATGTACAGGCCTCGTCGCCCGATCCCCAGAACCCCCCCCCTCCCCTCAGCGCCCGCCCCCCGAGTGGCGGATTCGCGCAGCATCGCGACACGATCGCACTGGACCCTCGCACCACCACGCTCTCGGAGATGGGCAACAGCTCGCCCTTTTGCTGGCTGCTGCGACCTGTTCTCAGCCCTCCCGTGTGGAGTTGGATCCTCGTTTTGAATCCGCAGCGCACCGCGCAGGCCTCCTCGTCCTCCCCCTCGCATCCTCCCAGTCCCCCTTCTCTTCCTTGTCTCCCTCCGCCCGCTCTCGGCCCCCCACCCCCCCCTCCGCACGGTTCGTGCCTCCTGGGGAGCGCCACCTGCGGCGCCAGTGGGACAGACCGTTCGGCGTCCAACGACACCCCTCGCACGTTTCGTGCCCTGTGTGGCGCTCCACGTGCGGCGCCAGTGGAAAAGTCCGCCCGACGTACGCGGGCCCACGTCGGCACACCTCTTTCTCACGTTTCGTGCCCCTCGCGGGGCTCTGCCTGCAGCTCCGGTGGGAAAGCTTGGATGGCGTGTTCGCGCCCAGTTCAGCACAGTCCTCTGTCGCGTTTCGTGCCCCTCTATGGGACCCCACCCATGGCCTCAGAGGCAGGCTTCGCACGCGTCCCCCCTGCCAACTTGCACAACCTCCACCAACGGCCCCAGCGGAGAAAAGTTTGTATGCGCCCCTCGATCAAACCAGCACATCCCTAACGCAGATCGTGCATAGACTAGGTTGCTAAGGGTTGGCCATTCGCCCGGGTAATTTTGGATGCGGCCATGATGAGATTTCTCCTGCTCATCCTGCGTTTTCTCCTACTGGCACCTCCTCCTGGTCATTCCCCGCTTCCTCTCCCGCTTGAGGCGTGTTTGCTCTCAAGGCAGGTTCTGCTAACGCTTGGTTTCCATTGCCTGCTCGCTTCAGCGGGAACTCGGTTTTCTGGCTTGTCAGGTGCGTCGGTCTTTCATGCGAGGCGTCACGGTCTGCTCTCTGATTTTGACAGCATCCAGCGCTGTTTCCAACCCACTCGGTTTTATTCGCGCGTCCGAAGAGGTGGGCGATTTTCATTTTTACGATGAGTACGGTAGGGTGCGAATTTTCCATGGGACCAATCAGGTGATGAAGGTTCCGCCATGGTATATTTCAGAAATGTACGACAGTGACGCTCACGCTATCCACATGCAACGTCTGGGGTTTACTGTGGTGCGGCTTGGATTTATGTGGTCTGGGTACAATCCAGCACCCGGGGTATTCAACCAGACATACATCGACATTATCAAGGTGATTGTTGGCAGATTGGCCAAGCGTGGTGTGTACGCTTTACTCAATGTGCAGATGGATGGGCTCAGCAGCAAGTTTGGAACATACGATGGCGCGCCATGGTGGGTAATCAACAAGAGTTTACCTAAGCACGACTTCCCCTGGCCTCTGCGTAGACCTCAACCAGCTGGTGTGAACAAAATGGATCTGAACATTATGACTGAAGCGTCAGCCACTGCCTATCAAGATTTGTTTGACAACAACCACGGCATGCTCGACGACTTTGTTGCATTCTGGTCCCATGCTGCCGAGCAGTTCAAGGATGTGTCTGGAGTCATTGGGTACGACGTCATCAACGAGCCCTTCGTGGGCAATTTCTACAAGGATCCGGCGCTGCTCCTTCCTGGAGTTGCCGGGACAAGGAACCTGCAGGGGATGTACGACACCGTCGCTGCAGCCATCCGGAAGCACGATGACCGACACATCCGGCCGCGCTGCCGCGCACATCCGCCATCGCGCACATGGAACTTGCGCGGCCACGCTGCAGCTGTGGCACGGCCGGCCGTCTTGGCCTCCTGTTGGGGGCTGCTCTGCGCCAGAGTGCGGGAGTCGTGGGGGCCGTCTTGGCCGTGGGTGGACCCCGTCCTGATGGGGTTGTTTGGAAGGGGCCCTTCGGCCTCTTGGGGGCCTCTCGGTGGGGCCCTGGGCCGCGGGGGTGTCGTCGCGGGCGGGTCTGCCAACCCCAGGCTATGTCCTGCAGGGGTGGCAATACGATGACACCTTTGCGGCAGAAGTCTTTTTCACAGCTGTCGAGAGGGGCCCGGCAGTCCACTTCCTGGCATTTTTACGATTTTTGCCACGGCTCGCATTCATGACATGCTGGCCAGCGCGAGCCCCAAACAGTGGTTTCTAGTACACTAGGTAATATAATATATGCGGCGTAAGGTGCGTAGTGCAAGCGACGTTGTGGCGGGGTTGGGGGTTGCAATTTACGTAATAACTGTGTGAAGGTGAAGATTTGTCTGCGCAGGCGAGAAATTGCGGCTGTGACATCAGCAGGACATCGTCCAACGCGGGTGCAATATTCATGCATGCTCTGGCGCATTACACCTTGGTTTCCAACATGTAATATCTGTAGCAGCACACGCGGCCGCATTGCATGAATCGTTCCCGTTCCCTTGCGAGCGAACTATTCTTGTATGCTTTGTAGCAGTACGCGTTGGCCAACATCATGCAAACTCGGTAGCAGTACACGCGGCCGCATTGCAGCAATCACGCCTTGGAAGATCGCCGGTGAGCGCGCCTGCACTTTGGCCGGACGCACCCAGACAGTGCGAACGGAACGCTTGCGTGTTTTTTTTTCCGATGTTCGCTTGCACCATGGCGATGAAGCCGACGGCGTAGCGATTGAGTGGTGCCTGGGCCGTCAGGATGCCACGGGCCGAAGCGCGCAGTAGGGGCTCGACCACAAGAAACTTTCCACAAGAAACCCAACTCTGAGACCCCAGGACGTCCGTTGCTTGCTGGTTTGGGAGCGTCATGCTTTCCGTGGCAAAACCACCCATGCCCACGAAACCCAGGGCACCTTGGAGGCAAGCAGCGTTTTTTTTGCATGGACCCCAATCCGAGATGCAGCCTCCGTCGAGGCCGGCCACGTGCTAATCGTAGCGTTGGCAAGAGAGAGAGAGAGAGAGAGAGAGAGAGAAAAAAAAAAAAAGAAGAGAGAGGGAGAGAGAGAGAGAGAGAGCACGCCGGGCAGAGACCACCAGGTGCCATTCGGTGAACCTTACGGCAGACCCCACGACAGGAACGGTGTGCTTTGCAGCCGTACACACCGTTCATTTCTAATTCTTCGAATGTTCCCTTTCATGTCTAATTGTTCTATCCTGGCCTCTTTCTGGCCACTAGGGGGCCAGGAACAATTAGAAACGAGCACAATTAGAGCGTCGTGCAGCGGAAGCTCATGCGTCTGCAGCTGCACGCAGGCGCAGAGGTTCTCGAACGCACCGGCTGATGCGGCCGCAAAGGAGCAAATCGGATCTAAAATGGCAGCAGGCAATGCCGTTTGTGATGGCGGTGGCGATGGCGGCGGCGATGATGGCATTCGGAAGCCGCATCGCGCCGAGACGGATCGGAATCGAAATCGGGAGGGAAGCGCAGGAGGGAGGGAGGAGAGGAGGGAGGCGCAGGGCGCAGGAGGGAGGGAAAGGGAAGGATTCGTTCACGAAGTCGTCGGCGAACGTTATCGCACTCGTCGTCGCAAGTCGCCCTCGAGCGTCGTCGGAGTCGTTGGGCGGAGGGAAAGGGGGGAGCAGGCGCGAGAGGCGCGCCGGGCTCACGACAGCCCGCGCACCGCGGAGACCGTGGAGATCGTTTGAACCCCTGGAACCCGGAGGAGGAACGCGACCAGCAGGAGGTCGCGATGTCGTCGTACGTCGTCGTCGGTCGTCGTCGGTCCTCTTACGTCGTCGTCGTACGTCGGCCCGCGTCGTCGTTGTGGTTGTCGTCCTGGTCGTCGTCGCGCTCGTCGCGCGTCGTCGTCGCGCTCGTCGACGCCGTCGTCGCACTCGCACTCGCGCGTGCCCCCCGTGCTCGTTGTCGTCCTCTTCTTCCTCGGCCTTCCTGCAGCGCGCCGCTGCCCTCGTCGACGCAATCTTCGAAGGCCCGAGATGGGCCGCAACGATGACGGATCGGCAGGAAATCAGCACAAGTTGGCTGACACCTTGCATCGGCAGGAATCTCTGCGCACACCCAACTGCGGCGGTGCAGCCGCGACTGCGGATTCTTTTCTATGAGCCGACCACGCACGGTATGATTTTCGATGGCAGCGTTTTTGGCTCGGGTTTCCGCCACGTTCCTGGAGGAGACGTATACAGGAATCGTAGTGCGTTCTCTTATCATTACTATTGCCACTCGTTCTTGTCATCCTACGACGAGCATCCACTGTTGCAGACCATTGTGTGTGACGTCACAGTCGCCAGTCTCGTCTGGCGGGCTGTCGAACATCTCGTGCAACGCATCGGCGGTGCTGCGATGATGACAGAAGGCATGCAATGCAATGGAGTCCAGTCGGAGTGTGAGGTCAACATGAAGCAGCTTGACGATCACTTGTTCTCTTGGATGGATTGGAATTTCAATATGGAGAATGGCACTGAGGCCGAATCTTGGGCTCGTACGTATGCTCAGGCAGTGGCTGGGAAACCATTAAATATGTCCTTCGACCCTCAGACGAAGTATTTCACGTTTTGCTTCCAAGTGGACACTACTATCGATGCGCCCACCGAGATATTCGCCAGCACCGCCTTCAGTTACCCGAATGGATTCGCCGTGAATGCCTCGGATAACGTGAACGTCACGATTGATGGCGATGTGGTCAAAGTTATCCCTGTGTCCAACAGCACTGATAGCTCAGAGGCATGCGTGCACATCAGTCGCAAAGCCGAGGGCGCGTTCCCGGCATCGGTGGCACAGAAGTTCGCAGTGCAATACGTATGAAAAGCTTGTACATGCTCCTGTAACCTGGTCGCGCAAAACCGTGATGGTTCCTCGCAAGTGCTCACCCTCCTCAGTCTCCTGGTCCTTTCTACAGCGAGTTCCTTCGGGCTGTCGCGTGTTAGCAGCCCACGCACGGGCTTGTAGGTTCAGGTTACCTGCCAACCGCTACGGCCGGCGTTGAGAGACATTCGCTACGCATTATTACGCAATTCCCTTGAAATCGTCGCCCTCCTTCTTAAGCATAAGACTTGCGAAGCGGGATACCTGTATGTCATGTCGATAAGTTGCGCGAAACGCGCGATGAGAATACGTGCAAGACGGCACCAGCGTGTTTGCATGTTCCGAACCAGAAAATTCGGAGAAGTGGATTTTGTCGCGCCCTGCCTTGACCCGCCCGTCTTCTCCTCTTCCTCATTCAGCTACCGGAATGGGCCGGCGTGCAACGCACCGCTGACACTGCTCAGCGTCACGGTTCTACCGCCTGCAGCGTAGAGTTGCCCCCGAATGCGAAGAGCAGGGCATTCCTCTCCAGATAGTCCATGGGGCCAGTGGGCCAAAACATCCTGCCGAGGTCTCCCTGGGTCCCTCCCCAGACGTGCTCGCGTTGTGCCAAAACATTCAGCGGGCGGTTTCTTGCCGTCTTCGGCCTGGACGTTCGGTCCCTGCCCAATGATCGGGGGCCCCCAGACGGGGTGGTGACCACACCGTGTGGTGAGCCGGTGGGGATTCGGTGTCACCGCACGGTTTTGGGACTCGGGCGGTTCTCCGAGGATGTCTCGGGCGACTGGAGCCTCCAGGGTCCCAAAACCGTGCGCTGACGGACCGTGCGGTCAGTTCGTGGGGGATTTCGAGGTCACCGCACGGGCTGTCACCGCACCGCTTCGGGACTCCAAGAATGATGCCCGCCGGTGTCCTCTGCGGTCCCCCGGAGTCCTGCGAGGCACTGCGCTGTGCCTTTGTTGGGCGCGACGGTCGGCCCTTGTCCTGCCCACCACAGCGCGGACTTGCCCCCAGACAGCCCCCTGGAGGAATTTTCAAGTGGGGCCTGTCCCCCTGCAGGAGGAAGATCCAAACATTGTTTTAAAGAATAGGTTGGAGACATTTTGGGGGGGCTATTTCTGCATATGTCTGAATACTTCTTGGGGTACTTTCTTTTTTTCTCCAAAGTCCGCCTGCAGGGGACACGCCCGACCTAAAGGTAGCCATGGCTGTCCGGCTGCGATTCGTCTTTCTCGGCCTTGCTCGAGGGAAGAAGCACGGGGACCATGGCCAAGAAGTCGCGGGATCTTCTCCGTGCCGCTCGGGGTCATGGTCCACGCCAGCCGTCTCCGATCCGTGGAGATGACCACGAAGTGACGCTGACCAAGATCGACGGTGGCCGAGATGGACACGACGTGTCCGCGCTCCGTCTTGGACATGGCCCCCGCGTTCGTCCCCTCCACACGCTGTGAGGCTGCAGGGTGGGGGCCTTGCTCGCGCGAGAGGGGCTGTCGCCTTCCCGAGGGGCAGCGGCAGATTGCCCGGCAGGCCCCCGGGGGAAGAACCCCCCCCCGGGGCGGTCTCAGCACTCTCGACGCGCCGCCTCTGGCGGCCCCCCGAGTGGCGCTCCGCGCCCCAGCGCTGGGGTGCTGAGGCCGCCTTGGACCACCCTGAGAGCCGACGCGGCGACGAATTGCAGCCTCGCTGCAAATCACGGGCCACGCCCTCTGAGGCCTCATTGGCCAGAGGCCTTTCCCGAGCCGGACCGATCGGTGACGGTCCCAGGGTTGGAAGCCGGGCGAGAGCGCCCGGTGCCTGTGAGAAGTTGCAGTGTCCAGGGCCTCAGGTACCCCGGGGACCCGGTGATGGCAGGGGCTGCTTGCCAGGGGCTGCGTCAGTGCGCAACCTTGAGGTCCGACCGCGCCCAAAAAGTTGCGGCATCGGGAAAGATCAACTCTGGAGCCCTACAGGCCAAAGCTCTTTGTCGATCTGTGATGCCCTGGGCCCAGGACCTGGCGAGACCGCCCGACCCGAGGGCATTAATCCAATAGCCCTTATAACGGCGACGATGGAACACAGTGCCGGGGAACTGCTTTGAACATCACCAGTCGTTCAAAGCAGTGCCCCGGCACTGCATTGAACGATGCGGAAATGCGATCAGCAGGAGCCTTCGTCTGTTCCTTCTCCTCTTCTCGTCGCTGTATGCTCTTCCTTGTCCTCCCTCCTCCCCCGTTCCCTCTCTAATTAATTACCTCGTTCTCCCAGTCTCACGCGCACTCTTCCTCCCCCCTCTCCTCCTCCTCTTCCTGCTTCTCCTCCTCGTCCTCCTCCTCCTCCGCCTCCTCCCCCTCATTTGTTATATTTCTCCGTCCTTGTCCTCCTGTCCCCGTTCTCCTTCTCCCTCTCCTCCTCCTCCTCCTCCTCGTCGTCGTCGTCCTCCTCCTCTTCCTCCTCCTCCTCCTCCTCCTCCTCTCCTCCTCCTCCTCCTCCTCCTCCTCCTCCTCACCTTCTTCCTCCTCCTCCTCCTCCCCCTTTTCCTCTCCCTCCTCCTCCTCCTTCTCCTCCTCCCCCTTCCCCCTCTTCCTCCTCTGCTATCACTCCTCCATAATTCCTGTCCGCTCCTCCCCTTCACTGATCTTCCTCTTCGTCATCATCATCCCTTTCGTCGCACGCCTCTTAATCCTCAATCGGTTCCCAATCTTCTCGACTTTCTTGTCATCCGCGTCCTTGGCTGTTGGAGGGGCCTCAGGAATTCTCAGGGCTCTTGTGTTGCACGCGAAGGCACACCTCCAGGAACGCATCATCCTCCTCACATTCACCCTCCTCCTCCTCATCCTCCTCCTCCATGCACGTTCGGCTCAAGCCCGCGCCGACGGTAGGTTTCACGGCGGTTGGGCGGGCTCGCGCCCGCCTCCGCGGCCTGCAGTCGGGGCAGAGATGCGTGCAGGGTGGGATGACAAAGCGGAAGAGGAAACACGGGCCGCAGTTGCGGATTCTTCAAAGAGCAGCGGCGGCGGTTGGGGAACAAGTGGGGGTTGGGGCGGCCGCAGTGGCGGATACGGCGGCGGAGGTGACCGCAGTGGCGGCTGGGGCGGCGGAGATTCTCTTGGCGGATGGAGAGGAAAAGCGCAGGATGGCGGCGACGGAAGTGACCGCAGTCGCGGATGGGAGGGCGGCGGATGGGGCGGCAACGGATGCGAGGGTTGGGGAATGGAGGGCGCCCGCTGGTGGGACGACGAGGGTGGCTGGTGGAATGCATGGGAAGGTGGCCGCTCGAGTGCCTCGGCAGGTTCTCCTGCCGCGGAGCCCGCGGCCGCAACAGCGGCGGGCAAAGGAGGCGGTCCCCTGCTTCCCCCAGGGCGCGAAGAACAAGGCGCAGTTGCGCTGTTTCAAATTGTGCGCAATGAGCCGCTGCCAATTTTCAAGTTGGAATTCTTCGAGAACTTCAGGGCGAACTGGAACGGCAATTATAAGCAGCACAACGCGGCCTTGAAGTGGTTCCGAGACGAGTACGAAGACCGAGAAAACCCTTTCGGCAGCCGCACGCCCGTCTTCGGAGGTACCGCAGTTGCGGAGGAAATTTCGAAGATCCTTAAGTACCGCGCAAAGGGGAAGGCGCAGGACAACAGGGATTGGGACTGGGACCACACTGTCAAAGTGCCGTGGTCTTGGCAGGAGATGGTCGCGCAGATGGATGGACCTACAATGCTGCGCGTCGTGTGCGGCCCTGACAATGACCGCAGTCGCGGGTTGGTCCGCTGCGAGTGCCGCCCGTGCCCTAGCAGTCTCGACAACATGAGGCACACGAAAGGGGTGGACAGAGGACAGGCGCAAAGAATCCCTCTGCCCCAGTGGGATTTCGTCCTCATCCGCGACGACGGCTCGGGCATTCGCGTCCACCCATCCTGGTCTAGCCCGAAGTTCAACACGTATGAGGTGGAGCCGCACTCGCATCCCGTGCGGGGCCCGAGGGCAGGTCTCGGCAAGAGCGATGGCCACGGAACGTTCACGTTCTGGAAGATGCTGCACGCCCATCCGAATCCTGGGCGGTTCGACGCGAGCAAGGGGGCGCAGCTGCAACCGCGGTGGTCCGCGCAGCCTTGACACCGCAGTTGCGGGATTGCGCAGCCATGGAACCGCAGTTGCGGAAACCGATCGCGTGACGCCGCGCTCGTTTGACTCACTATGCGCGCTTTCGGCCGCAGTTGCGGCGCTGCCTTCTAGCGACTTCATACAGCTTGGCCGCAGTTGCGGCGCTCCCACGACTGACCGCTGTAATTAGGTGCTTCGGGCGCGCATCACCTCCGTTGAAGCACTCGTGACGTTAATTAGCGCGGCCGCAGTTGCGGAGACAGGTACTTAAACAGATGGATCCGCAGTTGTTCGTCGTCCTCGTCGCCCCTTCCCCGTCGTCCTCGTCGCAGTCTCCTCCCTCCGCCTTTCCTCCTCGTCGCAGTTCCTTCCGTTGGCCGTAGCCCGCCTCCGTTGGCCGAGTCATTTCCCGTCGTCCTCGTCGCAGTCCCCCCCGAGGGCCGCAGTTGCGGACTTTGTTGATTCCTCCTCCTCCGTTTCTGCCCCGTCATCCTCGTCGCAGTCCCCTTGCTCCTTTCACCCTCGTCTGAGCTCTTCGCGCCATCCTCTTCCGTCGCGTCCTCTCCATCCTCCTCTTCGCCTTCCTCGTCCTCATCCCCGCCGTCTCCCTCGTTGCCCGTTCCTCTCCCAAGCCGGCCGCAGTTCCCCCGTCGGACGGGGGCCGCGCGCGGCCACGCCATGGACCCAGGTCGCAAAGCCGAGGTCGACAAGCGGTTCGCCGAGCTGAAGCAGCAACTGCGGGAAAGGCTCGGCGTGCAAGGGGCTGCCGCGGATGCCGCAGTCGCGGAGCCGACGGGGGACCGCAGTAGCGGAAGCCCCGAGCGACCGCCGCGCGAGGCCTCCCCGCAGTCGTCTAGCTCCTCGCGGTCGGCCATCGAATATCGGCCGCCGCCGCCGATAAGCGCTGCGAGTGGGAGCTCTGCTGGTGGGAGGCGCGAAGAGGCGCAGTTGCGCAGGGCGCACTTGACCCCCAAGGCAAAATGGGGGCCTCGGGCGCAGACGCCGACGAAGCAGCAGGACCAACCAGCAGTGACGGGAGCCGCCACCGAGACCGCAGTTGCGGGGGTGGCCGGCGAGCCAGGTGCCGCGCGCGGCTCATCTGGGAGCAGCGCGCCCTCGGCCGTGCTGCTCGCAGCCGAGTCCAAACGAGGCGCCCAACCCGAAGACGAGGCCGCCTCCCAGGAGAAAGCCGCCGAGACAACCGCCTCGGCCGATTCGCGGCCGAGGAAAAGGCCGCCTCCCACGGAAGACTCGCCGCTGTCAGAACCGCAGTCGCGGGGTCGCGCGGGGCCTCCGTCGGAACCGCAGTTGCGGGAAGATGCGGGAGCACCGCGGAAGAAGCAGCGGACCAGGTCCCCTCCAGGGATAAACTACGTTGGGGAACGCCCCAAGTGGAACGAAGGATTCCTTCGTACAGCAGACGGCAATCGGGTTCCGTCCACCATCGCTTTGGTGTTCAACGTGGTGGTCATCACGAAGGTGGCAACAAAGGAAGATGTCTTCAGGTGCATCTTGCACCAAACTGCGGCGGTCGTCTTCGTCGTATGGGACCCCGAGCTGTTCCGCACGGGGAACGTCGAAGGCGCTTGCAGCTACGACGTTCGCGTTGGACTCAGGAGTGCCATCGACAACGCTGTCACTATGAAAAACGCCTCCGAGGAGCCTTACTGGACGACGGTTCCCCTGTTCAGAGAGACGGGCCTGGTGCTCGTGCGCCCGCACATCATCGCAGAGACCGCAGTTGCGGGTCATGTTGTTGGGGCCACCCACGCCGTCACGATCCTGAGCTTTCGCCTGAAGGGCTCCGAGATGAATCCTGCCGCTGTGATCCGTTTTGCCGTCGTGTCCAGACACGCAGTCACCGAACGTCTCCAACACAAGATCACGCAAACAGAACAACAAGCGTGGCATCCAGCTTTCTTCAAGGACGCGGTTGCTGCCATCCATAAAAATGATGTGCGGTTCTTGTGCGGCCTGTTTGACATCCCGCCTGAGCAGCTCGCAGCATTGGGCCGCAGTTGCGGAGCCAGCTGCACCTGCCCGGTGGGGGTGGTGTTCAGGGCTGGACCCGCCCTGTTCGGAGGCATTGTGAAGGGCGCACGCGTCATGCATCCGAATTACGTCCTCCCCATTGGCCCGTGCGACGTGCGCATTGCGGACTACAACATTGATTTTGCAGGGAGGCCGTCGAAGAACGATCCCCAGTGGCTCCCTGATTG